CTCTGCCCTCTCTCAGCCCTCCTGCCCCCTCTGTCCTCTCTGCCCTCTCAGCCCTCTGCCCCTCTGTCCTCTCTGCCCTCTGTCCTCTTCCACCTCTGTCCTCTCAGCCCCTCTGTCCTCTCGAGCCTCTGTCCTCTCAGCCCTCTGTCCTCCTCAGCCTCTGGGTCCTCTCAGCCCTCTGTCCTCTCGCCCTCCGCTGCCCTCCTCACCTCTGGTCTCTCAGCCCTCTGTCCTCTTCTGTCCCTCTGACCCTTCATCCCTCTGTCCCTCATGCCCTCTGTCCTCTCGGCCCTCTGTCCGCCTCAGCATCTGGTCCTCTCAGCCCTCTGTCCTCTCAGCCCCCCTCTGTCCCTCACAGCCCTCTGTCCTCTGTCCCTCTCAGCCCTCTGTCCGCTGTCCTCTCTGGCCCTCTTCCTCTCTGGCTGCCCCTGTCCCCTCTGCCTCTGTCCCCTCTGTCCGCTCTGCCCTCTTGTCCTCTCTGGGCCCTCCTGTCCTCTCAGCCCTCTGTCCTTCTCTGCCCTCTGTCCTCTCAGCCCTCTGGTCCTCTCGCCTCGTCCTCTCTCCCTCTGCTTCTTCCCTCTGTCCTCTCTGCCGCCCTCCTGTCCGCTCTGCGCCTCTGGTCCTCTCTGCCTCTGTCCCTCCTTGCCCTCTGTCCTCTCCCCTCTGCCCCCTCTGTCCTCTCAGCCCTCTGCCTCTTCAGCCCTCTGCCCTCTGTCCTCTCAGCCCTCTGCCACCTCTGTCGCTCTGTCTCTTGCCCTCTGTCCTCTCAGCCCTCTGTCCTCTGTCCTCTCAGGGCAGCCCTCTGTCCTCCTGCCCTCTGTCCTCTCAGCCCTCTGTCCTCTGCCTCTCTGCCCTCTCACCTCTGTCCTCTCAATCATCGCCCCCTCTGCCCCCCTCTGCCCCCTCTGGTCCCGTCTGTCCTCTCTGCCTCGTCTGCCCCCTCTGCCCCCTCCCTGTCCCCTCTGTCCCCTCTGGTCCTCCTCTGCCCTCTGTCCTCCTCCTGTCCTCTCACCCTTCTGTCCTCTCTATCCCCTCTCTCTGCCCCTTCTTCTCCTCTGCCCCCCTCTGTCCTTCAGCCCTCTGTCCTCTCAGCCCTCTGTCCTCTCAGCCCCCGCTGTCTTCTCAGTTCTTCAGCCCTCGGTCTTCCAGCCCTCTATCCCTCTGTCATCTCTGCCCTGTCTCTCGGCCCTCTGTCCTCTCTGCCCCTCTCAGCCCTCTGTCCTCTCAGGCCCTCTGTCCTCTCAGCCCTCTGTCCTCTCCCCTCGGTCCTCTCAGCCCTCTGTCCTCTTCAAGCCCTCTGTCCTCCTGGCCCCTCTGTCCTCTCTGTCCTCTCAGCCCGCTGTCCTCTCAGCCCTCGTCCCTCTCAGCCCTCTGCCTCCTGTCCTTCGCAGCCCTCTGTCCCTCTCTGCCCTCTGTCCTCCTTCTGCCCTCTGTCCTCTCTGTCTGCCCGCTCTGTCCCCTATCTGCCCTCTCTGTCCCCTCTGTCCCCTTGCTGTCCTCTCCAGCCCTCTGTCCCTCTTCAGCCCTCTGTCCTCCTCAGGCCCTCTGTCTCTCAGCCCTCTTCCTCTCAGCCCTCTGTACTCTGTCCTCTTCTGCCCTCTGTCCTCTCTGTCCTCTCGCCTCTGTCCTCTCTGCCCTCTGGTCCTCCTGGGCCATCTGTCCCCTCGCTGCCTCTTCCTCTCTGCCCTCTGCCTCTCTGCCCTCTTTCCTCTCAGCCCTCCTGCCCCCTCTTCCTCTCACCCTCTGTCCCCTCAGCCTCTGGCCCGGCCTCTGTCCTCTCAGCCCTCTGTCCTCTGTCCTCTCTGCCCCCTCTGTCCTCTCTGCCCCTCCGTCCCTCTGTCCTCTCTGTCCTCTCAGCCCTCTGTCCCCTCTGTCCTCTCGGCCCCCTCTTGTCCTCTTCTGTCCGCTCAGCCGCTTTCCTCTCAGCCCCTCTGCCCCTTCTGTCTCTGCCCCCTCTGTCTCTCATCCCTCTGTCCTCCTCAGCCCCTCTGCCCCCCTCTGTCCTCTCAGCCCTCTGCCCCCCTGGTGCCTCTGCCCCCATCTGTCCTCTGTCCTCTCCCTCTCTGCCCTCTGCCTCCTCAGAGCCCTCTGTCCTCTTTCCTCTCTGCCCTCTTCCTCTCCCTTTGCCCTCCTGTACCCGCTCTGCCTCTGTCCTCTCTGCCGCTCTGTTCCCTCTCTGCCCTCTGTCCTCTCCTCGGCCCTCTGTTCCTCTCTGCCCTCTTTCCTCGTCATGCCCTCTGTCCCTCTGCCCTCCGTCCTCGTCTGCCCTCTGTCCTCCAGCCCTCTGTCCTCTCTGTCCTCTCCAGCCCTCTGCCTCTGTCCTCTCACCTCTGCCCCCTCTGTACCTCTCTGGCCTCTGTCCTCTCTGTCCTCTGTCCTCTCGCCCATCTGTCCTCTCTGCCCTCTGTCCCTCTCTGCCCTCTGTCCTCTGCAGCCCGCTGTCCTCTCACTCTCAAGCCCTCTTCCCTCTGTCCCTCCCTCGCCCTCTGTCCTCTCAGCCCTCCTGTCCCCTCTGTCCTCTCATCCCTCTGCCTGCCCCCTCTTTCCTCTCGCGACCCTCTGCCCCCTCTGTCCTCTCAGCCTCTGCCCCCCCTCTGTTCCCTGTCCCCTCTGCTGGCCCTCTGTCCTCTCTGGCGCTCTGTTCCCCTCAGCCCTCTGTCCTCTCTTCCCCTCATCCCACCTCTGTCCTCTATGTCCGCCTCCTGTCCTCTTCTGCCCTCTGTCCTCTCAGCCCGCTTCCTCTCTGGCCCTCTGTCCTCTCAGCCCTCTGTCCTCTCTGGCCCTCTGTCCCTCTCAGCACTCTGTCCTTCTCAGCCCTCTGCCCCCCTCTGTCCTCTCAGCCCTCTTTCCTTCCTCTCAGCCCTCTTTTCTCCTCTCGCCCTCTGTCCTCTTCAGCCCTCTGTCCTCATCGCCCTCTGGCCCCTCTGCCTCTGTCCTCCTCACTCCCTCGTGCCCCCTTGTCCTCTCAGCCCTCTGCCCCCTATTCCCATCAGCCCTCTGTTCCCCCTCTGCCCCTCTTCCTCTCTGTCCTCTCACGCCCTCTGCCTCTCATCCCCTCTGTCCTCTGTCATCTCATCAAGCCCTCTGTCCCTCTCTGCCCTCTTTCCTCTCTGCCCATTTGTCCTCTCTGCCCTCTGTCCTCTCGTCCTCTCTCAGCCCTCTTCCTCTCAGCCCTCTGCCCCCTCGTCCTCGCAGCCTCTGTCCTCTCAGCCCTCTGTCCTCTCCGGGCCTCTGTCCTTCGCCCTCTGTCTTCTCATGCAGAATCAGCCTCAGGCCCTCTGCCCCTCTTCCTCTCTGCGCCTGTCCTCTCTGCCCTCTGTCCTCTCTGCCCTCTGTCCTCTCAGCCCTCTGCCCTCTCAGCCCTCTGTCCTCTCTGCCCTCTGCCCCTCTGTCCTCTCTGCCCTCTGTCCTCTCTGCCCTCTGTCCCCTCTGCCCTCTCAGCCCTCTGTCCTCTGTCTGCTGCCCTCTGTCCTCCTCTGCCCTCTGTCCCTCTTCTGTCCTCTCTGGGGCCTCTCTGCCCTCTGTCCTCTGTCCTCTCCTGCCTCTGTCTCTCGCCTCTGCCTCTCCGCCCTCTGCTCCCCTCTGTCCCCTCTCAGCCTCTGCCGCCTCTGTCCTCTCACAGCCCTCTGCCCCCTCTGTCCTCTCTGCCCTCTGTCCTCTCTGCCCCTCTGTCCTCTCTGCCCTCTGTCCTCTCTGCCCTCTGTCCTCTCAGCCCTCTGTCCTCTGTCCTCGTCAGCCCTCTGCCCCTCTGTCCTCCGGCCCCCTCTGTCCTCTTCACCCTCTGTCCTCTCAGCCTCTGTGCTCTTCACCCTCTGCCCCTCTGTCCCCTCAGCCCTCATGCCCCCTCTGCCCCCTCTGTCCTCTTCCCCCTCTGTCCCCCTCTGTCCCCTCTGCCCTCTGTCTCTCTGGGCCCTCTGTCCCCTCAGCCTCGTCCTCTCTGTCCCCTCTGTCCTCTGTCCCTCTCAGCCCTCTGTCCTCTCGCCCTCTGTCCTCTCAGCCCTCTGCGGCCCTCAGCCCTCGTCCTCTCCTGGCCCTCTGTCCCTTCACCCTCTGTCCCCTCTGTCCTCTCAGCCCCCTCTTCCCTCGTCAGCCTCTGGCCTCTCCGCCCTCTGTCCTCTCCATCCCTCTGTCCTCTTCCAGCCCTCTGTTCCTCCTCAGCCCTCTGGTCCTCTCAGCCCCCTGTCCTCTCAGCCCTCTGCCCCTCTGTCCCTCCTCAGCCTCTTCCCCGCTGGCCCCCTCTGGCCCCTCTCTGTCCCCTCTGTCCGTCTCTGCCCTCTGTTCCTCTCTCTGCCCCTCTGTCCTCTCTGCCCTCTTGTCCTCTCTTGCCCTCCTGTCCTCTCAGCCCCCTCTGCCCCTTCTGTCCTCTCAGCCCCTCTGTCCTCTCTGCCCTCTTTCCTACTCTCTGCCCTCTGTCCTCTCAGCCCTCTGTCCTCTCTGCCCTCTGTCCTCTCTGCCCTCTGTCCCCTCTCTGCCCTCTGTCCTCTCTGCCCTCTGTCCTCTCTGCCCTCTGTCCTCTCTGCCCTCTGTCCTCTCTGCCCTCTGTCCTCGTCTGCCCTCTGTCATCTCTGCCCTCTGTCCCCCCTCTGGCCCGCTGTCCCCTCTTCCCTCATCAGCCCTCTGCCCTCTAAGCCCTCTGCCGCCCTCGTCAGCCCTCTGCCCTCTGCCCTCCCTCAGGCCCTCTCGGAAACAGAGGGCTGAAGGACAGAGGGCTGAGAGGACAGAGGGCTGAGAGGACAGAGGGGGCTGAGAGGACATAGGGGGGCTTGAGATGACAGAGGGGAGCTGAGAGGACCGATGGGGGCTGATATGGCATAGGCTGAGAGGACAGACGGGCTGAGAGGGCAAGGGCCTGAGATTACGAGGGGTCAGAGGGCTGAGAGGACAGAGGGGACAGAGGGCTGAATACAGATGTGCAGAGAGCGAGGGGCTGAGAGGACAGATTGGCCTAGGGGAGGGCTGCGAGACAGGGCTGGTTGGTAGGCGAGGACGGCAGAGGGGACATGGCAGAGGGGACAGAGGTCAAGGGGACAGAGGGCTGAGAGGACATCGGGCTGAGAGGACAGAGGGCTGGAGGAACATAGGTGCTTAGAGGACAGAGGGCTGCAGAGGACAGAGGGGGGCATAGGGCAGAGAGAGAGGGCCCTCTCTCTCTGCCCCTGCCCCCCCTCTGTCCTCCTCACCTCTGTGTCCTCACTCAGCCCTCTGTCCTCTTCAGCCCTCTGTCCTCTCAGCCTCTGTCCTCTCAGCCCTCTTTCCCTCTCCGCCCTCTTGTCCCCTCTCATCCCCCTCGTCCCCTCTGTCCTCTCAGGCCCCTCTGCCCTCTGTCCCTCATCAGCCCTCTGTCCCCTCTGTCCTCTCAGCCCTCTGTGTCCCCTCTGTCCCTCTCAGCCCTCTGCCCCCTCTGTCCTCTCAGCCCTCTCCCTCTCAGCCCTCTGTCCTCTCAGCCCTCTGTCCTCTCAGCCCTCTGTCCTCTCAGCCCTCTGTCCCCTCTGTCCTCCAGCCCCCTCTGTCCTCTCAGCCCTCTGTCCTCTCAGCCCTCTGTCCTCTCAGCCCTCTGTCCCCTCAGCCCTCTGTCCTCTCAGCCCTCTGTCTCTCTCAGCCCTCTGTCCTTCTAGCCCTCTGCCCTACTCAGCCCTCTGTGTCCCCTCTGTTCCTCTCTGCCGGCCCCTCTGTCCCCTCGCCCTCTGTCCCTCTCTGTCCTCTCTGCCTCTGCCCCTCATCCCTCTGTCCTCTCAGCCCTCTGCCCTCTCAGCCTCTGTCCCCTCTGTCCTCTCTGGTGGGGCCCTCCCTGTTCCCCTCAGCCCTCTGTCCGCTAGCCCTCTGTTCTGCCTCTCAGCCCTCTGTCCCCTTGTTCCCCCCCCTCTCTGCCCGCTGTCCCTCCTCTGCCCCTGTCCTCTCTGCCCTCTGTCCTCTCTGCCCTCTGTCCTCTCTGCCCTCTGTCCCCTCAGCCCTCTGTCCTCTCAGCCCTCTGCCCCCTCTGTCCTCGCACCCTCTGTCCTCTTCATCCCTCTGTCCCCTCCCTCAGCCCTCTGTCCTCTCAGCATCCCTCTGTCCTCTCAAGCCCTCGTCCCTCTCAGCCCTCTGTCCTCTCTGCCTCTTCTGTCCTCTCAGCCCTCTGCCACTCTGTCCTCTCAGCCCTCTGTCCTCTGCACCCCTCTGTCCTCTCGCCCCTCTGTCCTCTCAGCCCTTGTCCGTCTCAGCCCTACTGTCCTCTCTGTCCCCTCTGTCCTCTCTCTCTGTCTGCCCTCTGTCCTCTCTGCCCTCTGTCCCATCTTCTGCCCTCTGCCCTCTCATCCCTCGTGTCCTCTCAGCCCCTCTCTCCTCTGCCCTCTGTCCCTCTCACCTCTCTCTCTGCTGCCCCTGTTCTCTCAGCCCATCTGTCCCCTCTGCCCTCTGTCCTCGTCTGCCGCTCTGTCCTCTCTGCCCTCTGGCCTCTCATCGCCCTCTGCCCATCGTCAGCCCTCTGTCCCTCCTCACGCCTCGCCCTCTGGTCCTCTCAGCCCTCTGTCCTCTCAGCCCTCTGTCCCCCTCTTCCTCTCACCCCCCTGCTGTCCTCTCATCCCCCCTCTTCTCTCACCGCTCAGCCCCACTCTGTCGCTCAGCCCCCTTGTCCTCTTCACAGCCCCCTCTGTCCTCTCAACAGCCCTCCTGTCCTCTCATCCCTCTGTCCTTCAGCCCTCTTTCCCTTTCCTCTCAGCCCTCCTCTGTAACTCTGTCCTCTCTGTACTTCTGCCTCTCTGTACTTTGTACTCTGTCCTCCTCTGTCCTCTATCCCTCTCTGTCCTCATCTGCCTATGTCCTCGTCTGCCCTCTGTCCTCCTCCGCCCTCTTGGCCCTCCTCATCCCTCTGGCCTCCTCAGCCCTCGTCCCCCATCCTCAGCCCTCCTCAGCCCTCTGTCCCCCTGTCCTCCTTCTTACTCTGTCCTCTCTGTACTCTGTCCTCTCTGTCCCTCTGTCCTCTCTGCTCTCTCCTCTGTCCTCTCTGCGCCTCTTCCCTCTCTGCCCTCTGCCCTCTCAGCCATCGTCCTCTCAGCCCTCGGTCCCCTCTCTGCCCCTCTCATCATCCCTCTGTCCTCTCAGCCCTCTCTCTCGCCCTCTTCCTCGTCAGCCCTCGTCCCCTCTGTCCCTCCTCAACTCTGCCCCCCTGTCCTCTCAGCCCTCTTTTCCTCCTCAGCCCTCTGTCCTCTCAGCCCTCTGTCCTTTTCTCATTCCGCTCTGTCCTCTCATCCCTCTGTCCCTCAGCCCTCTGTCCCCTCTGTCCTCTCAGCCCCCCTATGTCCTCTCAGCCCCCTCCCTGGTCCTCTATGCCCCCTCTGTCCCTCTCAGCCCCTCTTCCTCTCAGCCCCCTCTGTCACTCTCAGCCCTCTGTCCCTCTCAAGCCCTCTGTCCCCTCGCCTCGCTGTTCCTCTCAGCCCTCTGCCCTCTCAGCCCTCTCTTTCTTCCCCGCTGTCCTCTCAGCCCCCCATCTGTCACCTCCTCAGCCCCCTCTGTCTCATCTCAGACCCCCTCCTGTCCCTCAGCCCCCTCGTCCTCGTCAGCCCTCTGTCCTCTCATCAGCCCTCTGTCCTCTCAGCCCGCTCTGTCCTCTCAGCCCCTGTACCCCTGTCCTCTCAGCCCTCTGTCCCCTCTGTCCTCCTCAGGCCCCCCCCTCTGCTGGTCCTCTCATCCCTCTGTCCTCTCAGCCCTCTGTCCCCTCCTGTCCTCTCCAGCCCCCTCTGTCCTCGTCATTCCCCCTCTTGTCCTCTCAGACCCCCCTGTCCTCTCAGCTCCTCTGCCTCTCAGCCCTCTGTCCTCTCAGGCCCTCTGTCCGCTCAGCCCTCTCAGCCCTCTGTCCTCTCAGCCCTCTGTCCTCTCAGCCCTCAGCCCTCTCAGCCCTCTCAGCCCTCTGTCCCCTCTGTCCTCTCAGCCCTCTGTCCCCTCAGCCCTCTGTCCTCTCAGCCCTCTGTTCCCTGTCCCTCTCTGTACTCTGTCCTCTCTGTACTCTGTCCTCTCTGTACTCTGTCCTCTCTGTACTCTGTCCTCTCTGTACTCTGTCCTCTGTCCTCTACTCCATGGATCATCAACTAGATTCAGCTAAGGACCAATTTATTTCTTGACCGGAAGGTTGGCGGCCAGAACATAATTACAAATCATTTGTAGACTGCAATTTGACCGCAAGAATCACAAAAAGATCATTTCAAACATTGCTTACATTTGTGTACGATCACATGTCTCTCTATTATGTGTGGGAATACTTGAACATATTTATAAAATTAAAATCACTTGGAGCTGATTTCCTGGTGTTTTTACAGTCTTGTGTCCAACAATGAAAATTCCCAAAAATAATAATAATTTGCTCAGAATACTTGGGGGGAACCCTGACTACCCTATAGTTAAATATCTGGTCTGTCTGTCGGTCTGTCTGTCCTGTTAGTTAGGTGGGATACCAACCTATTGTCTGTCTGTCTGTCTGTCCTGTTAGTTAGGTGGGATACCAACCTATTGTCTGTCTGTCTGTCCTGTTAGTTAGGTGGGATACCAACCTATTGTCTGTCTGACCTGTATATCACTACCTCACCTGTCTGTCTGTCACACCTGAACACGTAGAGGTAGACTGAATATACTGGTTTCCACACCTGAACACGTAGAGGTAGACTGAATATACTGGTTTACACACCTGAACACGTAGAGGTAGACTGAATATACTGGTTTACACACCTGAACACGTAGAGGTAGACTGGATATACTGGTTTCCACACCTGAACACCTAGAGGTAGACTGGATATACTGGTTTCCACACCTGAACACGTAGAGGTAGACTGAATATACTGGTTTACACACCTGAACACGTAGAGGTAGACTGAATATACTGGTTTACACACCTGAACACGTAGAGGTAGACTGAATATACTGGTTTACACACCTGAACACGTAGAGGTAGACTGAATATACTGGTTTCCACACCTGAACACGTAGAGGTAGACTGGATATACTGGTTTCCACACCTGAACACCTAGAGGTAGACTGGATATACTGGTTTCCACACCTGAACACCTAGAGGTAGACTGGATATACTGGTTTACACACCTGAACACGTAGAGGTAGACTGAATTTTTACGGGTTTTTTACACACCTAACCGTAGAGGTGATGAATATATGGTTTAACCCCTAAAAACCCCCTGGGTAGCTGAATATACTGGTTTAACACCTAACCCCTAAAAGGTAACTGGTTATGGTTTCCACACCTAAAACACGAAAGGGTAGACTGAATATACGGGTTTTCCACACCTGAACCCTTTTAGGGGGTAGATGAATATCTGGTTTAACCCTGAAAAAGGGGTTTAGAGGTAACTGAAATATACTGGTTAACACCTAAAACACGTAGAGGTGGGGACTGAATATCGGGGTTTACACATAACACGTAGGGTAACGGGATTTATACTTTTCCACACCTAAAACCGAAGGGGGTAGACTGAATATACTGTTTTAAAACCTAAAACATAGAGGTAGGAATTACTGGTTTTCCACACCTGAACACTAGAGGTGGGATGATATACTGGTTTCCACCCCCTGAACCACGAAAGGGGTAGAAAATAACTGGTTTCACCCCGAACCCACCTAGAGGTAGAGGGGATATATTTTTTCCAACCTGAAAAAAAAACCTAGAGGTAGACGATATAAGGTTTTTAACAACCTGAACACTAAGGTGGGCCCCGGGGATATACTGGTTTACCCCCACCTGAAACCAAAGGGGGTTTGGGGACTTATTAACGGTTTCCCACCTGAACACTAGGGTAGCGGGAATATACTGGTTTCCACACCAAAAACCCCTTAGAGGACTGAATATTACTGGTGTTCCCCACCTGAAACACCTCATCGACCCCGGGGGGGGGGGGTGTATGTAGTCTTCCTCAGGCCAGTGGGGGCAGGGTTGCCGTTGGTTGTTCTCGAACTGACAGAGTGTCTGGAGTTGGAGAACCAGGGACTGCACAAAGGTACGACTGGCTTTCATTTGTTAATGATCATATTCTGATCTATATTGATGTAGAATAGATCTTTATTGATCCATTATACACAGGCAACAGAAACAATGATTATGACGATAATGATGACTTGCTTGCTTGTGTGTGTGTGTGTGTAGTGGTGGAGGATCTGAGAGCAGCCTTGTTCACACTGGAGTCTAGAGTCCAGGTTCTGGAGAGAAGCCCAGCTGCAGCCGTTTCCTGTGCCAAGGTGGGTTTAGAGAGGAAGTCCGTTCGAACTAAATGATTCTATTTCAAACGTCCGTCATATCTGCATGCGCTGATGTGGATGCTGCACTCTGTGCAGACTGGAGCGGACATTCAGTTGAAGCTTGAAGGTGTACATTTTTGATTTTTCTGTACCAAGAATGGTGTGGTCTATGAACGATATTTAGGCTTTATAACTACACTGAACAAAAACAGTTGGTCCCATGTTTCATGTGCTGAAATAAAAGATCCCAGAAATTGTCCATGTGCACAAAAAGCTTATTTCTCAAAGATATTTTATTTTTTATTATTTACATCCCTGTTAGTGAGCATTTCTCCTTTGCCAAGATAATCCGTCCACCTGACAGGTGTGGCATATCAAGAAGCTGATTAAACACCATGATCATTACACAGGTGCACCTTGTGCTGGGGACACTCTAAAATGTCCAGTTTTGTCACAGAACACAATGCCACAGATGTCTCAAGTTTTGAGGGAGTGTCCAATTGGCATGCTGACTGCAGGAATGTCCACCAGAGCTGTTACCAGTGAATTGAATGTTAATTTCTCTACTATAAGTAAAATCTTTGAAATTGTTGCATGTTGCGTTATATTTTGTTCAGTGGTCTATGAATGATATTTATTATTTCTCCCTCCTCCCCCTCTCCTCCCCCTCACCTCCCCCTCTCCTCCCAGGTGGTGACTGTTCAGTCTGTGAAGGTGGAGAATGGTGGTGATGATGATGATGATGACATGGACCTCTTCGGGAGTGATGAGGAGGAGGATGAAGAGGCAGAGAGGCTGAAGGAGGAGAGAATCGCTGCTTACGCTGCCAAGAAGTCCAAGAAACCAGCGCTCATCGCCAAGTCATCTATCCTGCTCGACGTCAAACCTGTACGTTGTCCCTCTGTTCCATGTCTCTGTCCCTCCCTGTCTGTCTCTGTCCTCTCTCTCTCTCTCTCTCTCTCTCTCTCTCTGTCTCTCTCTCTCTCTCTCTCTCTCTCTGTCTCTCTCTCTCTCTCTATCCCGCTGGATGTCAAACCTGTATGTCAATAGTTGAAACATGTTGAAAGGCAGAAGGTGTATCTAATGCTTTCTCACCAACTCTCCCTCCTTCCATCAACTCTCTCTCCCTACCACCTCCCCTCTCTCTCTCTCTCTCTCCCTCTCCCCCTCTCTCTCTCCCACCTCCCCTCCCCTCTCTCTCTCAGTGGGATGATGAGACCGACATGGCTAAGTTGGAGCAGTGTGTGAGGTCTGTTGTAGCTGACGGTCTGCTGTGGGGTCAGTCCAAGCTGGTTCCCGTGGGTTACGGCATAAAGAAGCTCCAGATCGGGTGTGTTGTCGAGGACGACAAGGTGGGAACAGACCTACTGGAGGAAGAGATCACCAAGTTTGAGGACTATGTGAGTATTACACACTGTAGATAACTCACTGCTTAAAACCCATTACACACTGTAGATAACTCACTGCTTAGAACCCATTACACACTGTAGATAACTCACTGCTTAAAACACAGTCATGAACCCCGTTAACCCTATAGAGAACGAATAATAAACTCAGCAAAAAAACAAATGTCCTCTCACTGTCAACTGCGTTCATTTTCAGCAAACTTAACATGTAAATATTTGTATGAACATAAGATTCAACAACTGAGACATAAACTGAACAAGTTCCACAGACATGTGACTAACAGAAATGGAATAATGTGTCCCTGAACAAAGGGAGGACTGACTGAACAAAAGTAACAGTCAGTATCTGGTGTGGCCACCAGCTGCATTAAGTACTGCAGTGCATCTCCTCCTCATGGACTGCACCAGATTTGCCAGTTCTTGCTGTGAGAGGTTACCCCACTCTTCCACCAAGGCACCTGCAAGTTCCCGGACATTTCTGGGGGGAATGGCCCTAGCCCTCACCCTCCGATCCAACGGGTCCCAGACGTGCTTAATGGGATTGAGATCCGGGCTCTTCGCTGGCCATGGCAGAACACTGACATTCCTGTCTTGCAGGAAATCACGCACAGAACGAGCAGTATGGCTGGTGGCATTGTCATGCTGGAGGGTCATTTCAGGATGAGCCTGCAGGAAGGGTACCGCATGAGGGAGGAGGATGTCTTCCCTGTAACGCACAGCGTTGAGATTGCCTGCAATGACAACAAGCTCAGTCCGATGATGCTGTGACACACCGCCCCAGACCATGATGGACCCTCCACCTCCAAATCGATCCCGCTCCAGAGTACAGGCCTCGGTGTAACGCTCATTCCTTTGACGATAAACGCAAATCCGACCATCCCTCCCTGGTGAGACAAAACCGCGACTCGTCAGTGAAGAGCACTTCCTGTCTGGTCCAGCAATGTTGGGTTTGTGCCCATAGGCGACGTTGTTGCCGGTGATGTCTGGTGAGGACCTGCCTTACAACAGGCCTACAAGCCCTCAGTCCAGCCTCTCTCAGCCTATTGCGGACAGTCTGAGCACTGATGGAGGGATTGTGCGTTCCTGGTGTAACTCGGGCAGTTGTTGTTGCCATCCTGTACCTGTCCCGCAGGTGTGATGTTCGGATGTACCGATCCTGTGCAGGTGTTGTTACACGTGGTCTGCCACTGCGAAGACGATCAGCTGTCAGTCCTGTCTCCCTGTAGCGCTGTCTTAGGCGTCTCACAGTACGGACATTGCAATTTATTGCCCTGGCCACATCTGCAGTCCTCATGCCTCCTTGCAGCATGCCTAAGGCACGTTCACGCAGATGAGCAGGGACCCTGGGCATCTTTCTTTTGGTGTTTTTCAGAGTCAGTAGAAAGGCCTCTTTAGTGTCCTAAGTTTTCATAACTGTGACCTTAATTGCCTACCGTCTGTAAGCTGTTAGTGTCTTAACGACCGTTCCACAGGTGCATGTTCATTAATTGTTTATGGTTCATTGAACAAGCATGGGAAACAGTGTTTAAACCCTTTATAATGAAGATCTGTGAAGTTATTTGGATTTTTACGAATTATCTTTGAAAGACAGGGTCCTGAAAAGGGGACGTTTCTATTTCTGCTGAGTTTATTATAGTCGTCTTAGGACATGTTAGTGAAGTTACCCTGATCTGAGCATGGCTCTTCTATTTCAGGTCCAGAGTGTCGACGTGGCTGCCTTCAACAAGATCTAAGCCTCTCCTCTACCTCACCCTCCCCTTCCTCCCTTCTCCTCTCCTCTACCTCACCCTCCCCTTCCTCCCTTCTCCTCCTCTACCTCACCCTCCCCTTCCTCCCTTCTCCTCTCCTCTACCTCACCCTCCCCTTCCTCTCCTCCCTTCTCCTCTCCAGTCATCCAAAGTGTTGCTGGTGCTCTCTGCTTGCACGGTTACTAATAAAACATAGAGCTTTAAGCACAAACACCTGTCTGTCTGTTTCTGTCTGAATGGAGGGAAACATGTACAGTATATTTTTTATGTATTTTTCTCTTCTAATGTATCCTCAATCATGCTTCCACCAGGAAAAGGATCAGTCTAGTGAAATCCACTTTAAATCAATTTGTCAAATGCATTCCAGTGTATTGAATGGTATAACATGAACAAGACACAAAGCTTAATCGTATTAATATCAAATGTATATGTTAAAGTCATTGACACAAAGCGCTAGAGTGAACCATTCAGTCAGATGGTTGGTGATGACAGAGTGTGGACCCCAGTCCGACCCAGAACCAGGGTAAAGAGGGTCTGAGGAGAAGGCCAGGCTCCGTGCTTGGTGGTCCAGGTACACTCCTACCCAGTTGGACCTGGGGACGGTTCTGCTGTTCTCTACATGGTGCACATAGCAGCCGGAGGGGGACCAGTCTAGGACCGGGGATCGTGTCCCATCTTACAGTTGCCGTCTCATGTCTCTGTAGCAGACCTCTATACATAGCCGTGGGAAGATGTTTGGGGTGGTAGTGGCAGAGTTTTGTTGTTGTTGCACTACAGACGGCTATATCAGTCCACTAATACAGGACTAGTAAAAGCCCAGAGAGGGGAGAGCCCTACCTCTGCTATGCCCCTTATAGACACCCCTCCCTGGCCGCTCCACTCTGCCTCCTATAGACACCCCTCCCTGGCCGCTCCACTCTGCCCCTATAGACACCCCTCCCTGGCCGCTCCTCCCTGGCCGCTCCACTCTGCCTCCTATAGACACCCCTCCCTGGCCGCTCCACTCTGCCCCCTATAGACACCCCTCCCTGGCCGCTCCACTCTGCCTCCTATAGACACCCCTCCCTGGCCCTCCACTCTGCCCCCTATAGACACCCCTCCCTGGCCCTCCACTCTGCCTCCTATAGACACCCCTCCCTGGCCCTCCCTTTGCGCCCCTATGAAGCCCCTCCCGGTCGCCTCCGGCTGCGCCAAGCCTGCGATTCGACACCCGATCCTAGAGCGCCATTGCTAGCACCTCTGGCCGTCACTGCCTTAGACCACGCCCTCCTGGAGCCCAAACCCTCTGCTCTATAGACACCCCTCCACTCCGCCACCTGGCGCTCCACTGGGGAAGAACCGCTCCGGTCCGGCTCACTCTGGTCCCTCCTGCCCCCCCCCCCCCCTCGGCCGCTCCAATTGTTCCCGCCCAGAGTCCTCCCGTCGCGGCCGGCTGCGACAGAGCCTGGATTCGAACCAGGATCTCTAATGGCACAGCTAGCACTGCGATGCAGCGCCTTAGACCACTGCGCCACTCTGGAGCCCCAAACTCAGTCTGCTCAGACAGACCCCCTCCACACAGCACCTGGGCCCAGCGGGGGAAGAGGTCCGGGTGGTCGGGGTACGGCTGGGGTTCCCCCTGTGTCCCCCCCCCCCCCCCTCCCCTCACACACAGGTAGGGGTTGGCTGTGTTCACGTTCAGAACCAGAACCTCACTTATAAACGTTGCATATGCACAAAATATGCCCCCAAAACATGCATGCGCCAGTTTCTACGCAAGAAATAGCAATTATAAAAACTTGAACTTCATGAGAATGTCCTTGTCCTCTTGCGTCAGTTTCTAGTGGTTGAAGTCTTGCATCGCCAGAATGCAAACTACATGATTACATATGTGTTATTTCATAGTTTGATGTCTTCACTATTATTCTACAATGTAAAAATAAAGAAAAATCCTTGAATAAGTAGGTGTGTCCAAACCTTTGACTTTTGTGGGGAAAACACTACATGAAATATTTACTCTTCAGTTAGGGTCCCTCTCCTTCCTCACATCCTCTGTCTCCCACATACACACACTGATCACACACTCTCTCTCCCACATACACACACTGATCACACACTCTCTCTCCCACATACACACACTGATCACACACTCTCTCTCCCACATACACACACTGATCACACACTCTCTCTCCCACATACACACACTGATCACACCTCTCTCTCCCACATACACACACTGATCACACACTCTCTCTCCCACATACACACACTGATCACACACTCTCTCTCCCACATACACACACTGATCACACACTCTCTCTCCCACATACACACACTGATCACACACTCTCTCTCCCACATACACACACTGAGTCACACACTCTCTCTCCCACATACACACACTGATCACACACTCTCTCTCCCACATACACACACTGATCACACACTCTCTCTCCCACATACACACACTGCTCCCAACTTTTAAAACATTAGGCACCAGACAGAATTTAAAGAGCACCAGAAAGAGATGTTTAGTCTTACGTATGAATCCTACCTTTGAAGCACATCTCATGAGTAGCAGACCCTTGTCCTTTATTCCTGAGCCAATCAGATGTGCCTGAACCTACTGTGAAGTTACCAGGATGTTAGCTAGCTAGGTAACATGACTGAACAACGTATTGTTATCAAAGCAATAATTAGAGACCCAGAATTAGTTTAAAACGGTCCGCGACTGGATCCTGTACTTCCTGACGGGCCGCCCCCAGGTGGTAAGGGTAGGCAACAACACATCTGCCACGCTGATCCTCAACACCGGGGCCCCTCAGGGGTGCATGCTCAGTCCCCTCCTGTACTCCCTGTTCACCCATGACTGCATGGCCAGGCACGACTCCAACACCATTAAGTTTGCTGACGACACAACAGTGGTAGGCCTGATCACCGACAACGACGAGACAGCCTATAGGGAGGAGGTCAGAGACCTGGCCGTGTGGTGCCAGGATGGTCCTCTGTAGCTCAATTGGTAGAGCATGGCGCTTGTAACGCCAGGGTAGTGGGTTCGATCCCCGGGACCACCCATACGTAAACATGTATGCGCACATGACTGTAAGTCGCTTTGGATAAAAGCGTCTGCTAAATGGCATATTATTATTATTATTATTAACAACCTCTCCCTCAACGATGAGACAGCCTATAGGGAGGAGGTCAGAGAACTGGCCGCGTGGTTGCCAGGATAACAACCTCTCCCTCAATGTGATCAAGACAAAGGAGCTGATTGTAGACTACAGGGGTCAAATAATTATTTCCCCCAATAAAATGCAAATCAATTTATAACATTTTTGACATGCGTTTTTCTGGATTTTTTTGTTGTTATTCTGTCTCTCACTGTTCAAATAAACCTACCATTAAAATTATAGACTGATCATTTCTTTGTCAGTGGGCAAACGTACAAAATCAGCAGGGGATCAAATACTTTACCCTCACTGCTATGTTATTATTATTTCAAGGCTGTAGCCGGCCATTTAAGAAATCCATTGTGAAGCATTTGGGACAGTTACAGGCTGTCAGGAGCACTCAGCATTTCAATATCATGCATATGAATGTAGCATTTAGGCTGTAGAGAATTATTGTTATTTATTTTTTAAAGACTTAGAATTTAATAATAATGAAATGGAAAATGCCTTAAATCATAATGCCTTATTAGACTATACAAGCATTCCATAATGCCTTATTAGACTATACAAGCATTCCATAATGCCTTATTAGACTATACAATCATTCCATAATGCCTTATTAGACTATACAAGCATTCCATAATGCCTTATTAGACTATACAAGCATTCCATAATGCCTTATTAGACTATACAATCATTCCATAATGCCTTATTAGACTATACAAGCATTCCATAATGCCTTATTAGACTATACAAGCATTCCATAATGCCTTATTAGACTATACAAGCATTCCATAATGCCTTATTAGACTATACAAGCATTCCATAATGCCTTATTAGACTATACAAGCATTCCATAATGCCTTATTAGACTATACAAGCATTCCATAATGCCTTATTAGACTATACAATCATTCCATAATGCCTTATTAGACTATACAAGCATTCCATAATGCCTTATTAGACTATACAAGCATTCCATAATGCCTTATTAGACTATACAAGCATTCCATAATGCCTTATTAGACTATACAAGCATTCCATAATGCCTTATTAGACTATACAAGCATTCCCATAATGCCTTATTAGACTATACAAGCATTCCATAATGCCTTATTAGACTATACAAGCATTCCATAATGCCTTATTAGACTATACAAGCATTCCATAATGCCTATTAGACTATACAAGCATTCCATAATGCCTTATTAGACTATACAAGCATTCCATAATGCCTTATTAGACTATACAAGCATTCCATAATGCCTTATTAGACTATACAAGCATTCCATAATGCCTTATTAGACTATACAAGCATTCCATAATGCCTTATTAGACTATACAATCATTCCATAATGCCTTATTAGACTATACAATCATTCCATAATGCCTTATTAGACTATACAAGCATTCCATAATGCCTTATTAGACTATACAAGCATTCCATAATGCCTTATTAGACTATACAATCATTCCATAATGCCTTATTAGACTACAATTCATAACCTTGTATACCATTCCATAATGCCTTAACTTAAGAAGCCGTATACAAGCATTCCATAATGCCTTATTAGACTATACAAGCATTCCATAATGCCTTATTAGACTATACAAGCATTCCATAATGCCTTATTAGACTATACAAGCATTCCATAATGCCTTATTAGACTATACAATCATTCCATAATGCCTTATTAGACTATACAAGTCATTCCATAAATGCCTTATTAGACTAACAAGCATTCCATAATGCCTTATTAGACTATACAAGCATTCCATAATGCCTTATTAGACTAACAATCATTCCATAATGCCTTATTAGACTATACAAGCATTCCATAATGCCTTATTAGACTATAACAAGCATTCCATAATGCCTTATTAGACTATACAAGCATTCCATAATGCCTTATTAGACTATACAAGCATTCCATAATGCCTTATTAGACTATACAAGCATTCCATAATGCCTTATTAGACTATACAAGCATTCCATAATGCCTTATTAGACTATACAATCATTCCATAATGCCTTATTAGACTATACAAGCATTCCATAATGCCTTATTACATACAGCATTCCATAATGCCTTATTAGACTATACAAGCATTCCATAATGCCTTATTAGACTATACAAGCATTCCATAATGCCTTATTAGACTATACAAGCATTCCATAATGCCTTATTAGACTATACAAGCATTCCATAATGCCTTATTAGACTATACAAGCATTCCATAATGCCTTATTAGACTATACAAGCATTCCATAATGCCTTATTAGACTATACAAGCATTCCATAATGCCTTATTAGACTATACAAGCATTCCATAATGCCTTATTAGACTATACAAGCATTCCATAATGCCTTATTAGACTATACAAGCATTCCATAATGCCTTATTAGACTATACAAGCATTCCATAATGCCTTATTAGACTATCAAGCATTCCATAATGCTATTAGACTATAAAGCATTCCATAATGCCTTATTAGACTATACAAGCATTCCATAATGCCTTATTAGACTATACAATCATTCCATAATGCCTTATTAGACTATACAAGCATTCCATAATGCCTTATTAGACTATACAAGCATTCCATAATGCCTTATTAGACTATACAAGCATTCCATAATGCCTTATTAGACTATAAAGTAATTCTACAATTTCTTATTAGTAATTCTATAGTGCCTTTTAATTCACTTTTAGTTTGGCCGGTCTTTGGTTTGAGGATCATGCGGTGAGCTACGCATGTCTGGTTCGTTCATTTAGTTTAGCAGAGGCTCTTCTAATCCCTTTATTATATATATATATATATTATATTATTATTCTCAGTCAACACACATCTATTTTGTAACAACATTATAATAGTATACAATGGAATAAATTAGAAAAGTTTTCCCAAGTTTTTTTTTTTTACATTGTTGCATTTAACACTTTTAGTTAAATATCTGGTCTGTCAGAGAGCTGTCCTGTTAGTTAAATATCTGGTCTGTCAGACAGCTGTCCTGTTAGTTAAATATCTGGTCTGTCAGACAGCTGTCCTGTTAGTTAAATATCTGGTCTGTCAGAGAGCTGACCTGTTAGTTAAATATCTGGTCTGTCAGAGAGCTGTCCTGTTAGTTAAATATCTGGTCTGTCAGAGAGCTGTCCTGTTAGTTAAATATCTGGTCTGTCAGACAGCTGTCCTGTTAGTTAAATATCTGGTCTGTCAGAGAGCTGTCCTGTTAGTTAAATATCTGGTCTGTCAGAGAGCTGTCCTGTTAGTTAAATATCTGGTCACACTTCAACTGTGAGAGACGGAATCTAAAACAAAAATCCAGAAAATCACATTGTATGAGTTTTAAGTAATTCATTTGCATTTTATTGCATGACATAAGTCTTTGATACATCAGAAAAGCAGAACTTAATATTTGGTACAGAAACCTTTGTTTGCAATTACAGAGATCATACGTTTCCTGTAGGTCTTGACCAGGTTTGCACACACTGCAGCAGGGATTTTGGCCCACTCTTCCATACAGACCTTCTCCAGATCCTTCAGGTTTCGGGGCTGTCGCTGGGCAATACGGACTTTCAGCTCCCTCCAAAGATGTTCTATTGGGTTCAGGTCTGGAGACTGGCTAGGCCACTCCAGGACCTTGAGATGCTTCTTACGGAGCCACTCCTTAGTTGCCCTGGCTGTGTGTTTCGGGTCATTGTCATGCTGGAAGACCCAGCCACGACCCATCTTCAATGCTCTTACTGAGGGAAGGAGGTTGTTGGCCAAGATCTCGCGATACATGGCCCCATCCATCCTCCCCTTAATACGGTGCAGTCGTCCTGTCCCCTTTGCAGAAAAGCAACCCCAAAGAATGATGTTTCCACCTCCATGCTTCACGGTTGGGATGGTGTTCTTGGGGTTGTACTCATCCTTCTTCTTCCTACAAACACGGCGAGTGGAGTTTAGACCAAAAAGCTATATTTTTGTCTCATCAGACCACATGACCTTTGCCAATGACCATCTGGATCATCCAGATGGTCATTGGCAAACTTCAGACGGGCCTGGACATGCACTGGCTTGAGCAGGGGGACCTTGCGTGTGCTGCAGGATTTTAATCCATGACGGCGTAGTGTGTTACTAATGGTTTTCTTTGAGACTGTGGTCCCAGCTCTCTTCAGGTCATTGACCAGGTCCTGCCGTGTAGTTCTGGGCTGATCCCTCACCTTCCTCATGATCATTGATGCCCCACAAGGTGAGATCTTGCATGGAGCCCCAGACCGAGGGTGATTGACCGTCATCTTGAACTTCTTCCATTTTCTAATAATTGCACCAACAGTTGTTGCCTTCTCACCAAGCTGCTTGCCTATTGTCCTGTAGTCCATCCCAGCCTTGTGCAGGTCTACAATTCTATCCCTGATGTCCTTACACAGCTCTCTGGTCTTGGCCATTGTGGAGAGGTTGGAGTCTGTTTGATTGAGTGTGTGGACAGGTGTCTTTTATACAGGTAACGAGTTCAAACAGGTGCAGTTAATACAGGTAATGAGTGGAGAACAGGAGGGCTTCTTAAAGAAAAACTAACAGGTCTGTGAGAGCCGGAATTCTTACTGGTTGGTAGGTGATCAAATACTTATGTCATGCAATAAAATGCATATTAATTACTTAAAAATCATACAATGTGATTTTCTGGATTTTTGTTTTAGATTCCGTCTCTCACAGTTGAAGTGTACCTATGATAAAAATTACAGACCTCTACATGCTTTGTAAGTAGGAAAACCTGCAAAATCGGCAGTGTATGAAATACTACAGACCCTACAGCTTGTTCTCCCCACTGTAGCTAGTTTACGTTAGCTCTGCTAGCTAGCTCTGGTTAAAAATTGCAAAATAACTTTAAGTTACCTGAACGATTCCGGTAGCATCACGTACCACATATGTGGCGGGTGGTTCCACATGTCACATATTTATTTATATTAATTTATGTGATCAATGAGCTAATTTCAACCTTTTAATAGTGTGACTGGAAGCTGATTTCAACCTTTGAATAGAGTGACTGGAAGCTGATTACAACCTTTGAATAGAGTGACTGGAAGCTGATTACAACCTTTTAATAGAGTGACTGGAAGCTGATTTCAACCTTTGAATAGAGTGACTGGAAGCTGATTTCAACCTTTGAATAGAGTGACTGGAAGCTGATTACAACCTTTTAATAGAGTGACTGGAAGCTGATTTCAACCTTTGAATAGAGTGACTGGAATCTGATTTCAACCTTTGAATAGAGTGACTGGAAGCTGATTTCAACCTTTTAATAGAGTGACTGGAAGCTGATTTCAACCTTTTAATAGAGTGACTGGAAGCTGATTTCAACCTTTTAATAGTGTGACTGGAATCTGATTTCAACCTTTGAATAGAGTGACTGGAAGCTGATTTCAACCTTTTAATAGAGTGACTGGAAGCTGATTTCAACCTTTTAATAGAGTGACTGGAAGCTGATTTCAACCTTTGAATAGAGTGACTGGAATCTGATTTCAACCTTTGAATAGAGTGACTGGAAGCTGATTTCAACCTTTTAATAGAGTGACTGGAAGCTGATTTCAACCTTTTAATAGAGTGACTGGAAGCTGATTTCAACCTTTGTATAGAGTGACTGGAAGCTGATTTCAACCTTTGAATAGAGTGACTGGAAGCTGATTTCAACCTTTGTATAGAGTGACTGGAAGCTGATTTCAACCTTTGAATAGAGTGACTGGAAGCTGATTTCAACCTTTTAATAGAGTGACTGGAAGCTGATTTCAACCTTTGAATAGAGTGACTGGAATCTGATTTCAACCTTTGAATAGAGTGACTGGAATCTGATTTCAACCTTTGAATAGAGTGACTGGAAGCTGATTTCAACCTTTGTATAGAGTGACTGGAAGCTGATTTCAACCTTTTAATAGAGTGACTGGAAGCTGATTTCAACCTTTGTATAGAGTGACTGGAAGATGATTTCAACCTTTGAATAGAGTGACTGGAAGCTGATTTCAACCTTTGTATAGAGTGACTGGAAGCTGATTTCAACCTTTGAATAGAGTGACTGGAAGCTGATTTCAACCTTTTAATAGAGTGACTGGAAGCTGATTTCAACCTTTGAATAGAGTGACTGGAATCTGATTTCAACCTTTGAATAGAGTGACTGGAATCTGATTTCAACCTTTTAATAGAGTGACTGGAAGCTGATTTCAACCTTTTAATAGAGTGACTGGAAGCTGATTTCAACCTTTTAATAGAGTGACTGGAAGCTGATTTCAACCTTTTAATAGTGTGACTGGAATCTGATTTCAACCTTTGAATAGAGTGACTGGAAGCTGATTTCAACCTTTTAATAGAGTGACTGGAAGCTGATTTCAACCTTTTAATAGAGTGACTGGAAGCTGATTTCAACCTTTGTATAGAGTGACTGGAAGCTGATTTCAACCTTTGAATAGAGTGACTGGAAGCTGATTTCAACCTTTTAATAGAGTGACTGGAAGCTGATTTCAACCTTTTAATAGAGTGACTGGAAGCTGATTTCAACCTTTGAATAGAGTGACTGGAAGCTGATTTCAACCTTTTAATAGTGTGACTGGAAGCTGATTTCAACCTTTTAATAGTGTGACTGGAAGCTGATTTCAACCTTTTAATAGTGTGACTGGAAGCTGATTTCAACCTTTGAATAGTGTGACTGGAAGCTGATTTCAACCTTTTAATAGTGTGACTGGAAGCTGATTTCAACCTTTGAATAGTGTGACTGGAAGCTGATTTCAACCTTTTAATAGTGTGACTGGAAGCTGATTTCAACCTTTGAATAGTGTGACTGGAAGCTGATTTCAACCTTTGAATAGTGTGACTGGAAGCTGATTTCAACCTTTTAATAGTGTGACTGGAAGCTGATTTCAACCTTTTAATAGTGTGACTGGAAGCTGATTTCAACCTTTTAATAGTGTGACTGGAAGCTGATTTCAACCTTTTAATAGTGTGACTGGAAGCTGATTTCAACCTTTGAATAGTGTGACTGGAAGCTGATTTCAACCTTTTAATAGTGTGACTGGAAGCTGATTTCAACCTTTGAATAGTGTGACTGGAAGCTGATTTCAACCTTTTAATAGTGTGACTGGAAGCTGATTTCAACCTTTTAATAGTATGATTGTAGTCTAATTGGGTGCACCCACCATGAGGGGATCCCTGATGAATTTGCTATCACAAAAGAGGTCCCCTGCCCCAAAAAGTTTGAGAATCCCTGGTATGTGGGACAAATTCTGAGATGGACCATTGCTAGGCAACAGTCTGACGGTAGAGGGAGAGAACACCGGCGAACTTCGAGCTAGCAACGTTACTGATGTGTTGTTTTGAGTGTTTCAAACGTTGATAACTCACTCATTAAATAAATACCCGTAGCTAACAATCGTGAGGACAGCAAGGGTTTGTTTTTGGATTTTTTCAACTGTAATTGAAAGTAAAAGACCAGCCACATCACTCTGCCTCTCTCCCCTCCGGCCCAGAGGCTCAACCATTGGGATGCTGTTAGAGGCTGAACTGGCATACTGCTCGTGAGTGAGCAACCACTCTTTGTGGTAAAAGATCGATAATAATAGTTTTAGATAAGGGACCAGTCAAGTTTTTCTGAGGACTGTGCTTTTGTTTATTTCTCTTTCCGTTTGCGCCGCCTCTCTCCTCGCACACAATTCTTATAAAATGTATTTGGAATAAAATAATGTATTTAAAATTAAAGTACTTGGGAATGTATCATGTTTGACAATGACACCAATTTTCAGTTGTCCTGATACATCATTTACATTTACATTTTAGTCATTTAGCAGACGCTCTTATCCAGAGCGACTTACAGGAGCAATTAGGGTTAAGTGCCTTGCTCAAGGGCACATTTACGTCATTTAGCAGACGCTCTTATCCAGAGCGACTCACAAATTGGTGCGTTCACCCTATAGCCAGTGGGATAACCACTTTACAATTTTTTTTTTTGGGGGGGGGGTAGAAGGATTACTTTATCCTATCCCAGGTATTCCTTAAAGAGGTGGGGTTTCAAATGTCTCCGGAAGGTGGTGAGTGACTCCGCTGTCCTGGCGTCGTGAGGGAGCTTGTTCCACCATTGGGGTGCCAGAGCAGCGAACAGTTTTGACTGGGCTGAGCGGGAACTATGCTTCCGCAGAGGAAGGGGAGCCAGCAGGCCAGAGGTGGATGAACGCAATGCCCTCGTTTGGGTGTAGGGACTGATCAGAGCCCGAAGGTACAGAGGTGCCGTTCCCCTCACTGCTCCATAGGCAAGCACCATGGTCTTGTAGCGGATGCGAGCTTCAACTGGAAGCCAGTGGAGTGTGCGGAGGAGGGGGGTGACGTGAGAGAACTTGGGAAGGTTGAACACCAGACGGGCTGCGGCATTCTGGATGAGTTGTAGGGGTTTAATGGCACAGGCAGGGAGGCCAGCCAACAGCGAGTTGCAGTAGTCCAGACGGGAGATGACAAGTGCCTGGATTAGGACCTGTGCCGCTTCCTGTGTAAGGCAGGGTCGTACTCTCCGAATGTTGTAGAGCATGAACCTGCAGGAGCGGGTCACCGCCTTGATGTTGGCGGAGAACGACAGGGTGTTGTCCAGGGTCACGCCTAGGCTCTTCGCACTCTGGGAGGAGGACACAGCGGAGTTGTCAACCGTGATGGCGAGATCATGGAACGGGCAGTCCTTCCCCGGGAGGAAGAGCAGCTCCGTCTTGCCAGGGTTCAGCTTGAGGTGGTGATCCGTCATCCATACTGATATGTCTGCCAGACATGCAGAGATGCGATTCGCCACCTGGTTATCAGAAGGGGGAAAGGAGAAGATTAGTTGTGTATCGTCAGCGTAGCAATGATAGGAGAGGCCATGTGAGGATATGACAGAGCCAAGTGACTTGGTGTATAGGGAGAAAAGGAGAGGGCCTAGAACTGAGCCCTGGGGGACACCAGTGGTGAGAGCACGTGGTGCGGAGACAGCTTCTCGCCACGCCACTTGGTAGGAGCGACCGGTCAGGTAGGACGCAATCCAGGAGTGAGCCGCGCCGGAGATGCCCAGCTCGGAGAGGGTGGAGAGGAGGATCTGATGGTTCACAGTATCAAAGGCAGCAGACAGGTCTAGAAGGACAAGAGCAGAGGAGAGAGAGTTAGCTTTAGCAGTGCGGAGAGCCTCCGTGACACAGAGAAGAGCAGTCTCAGTTGAATGACCAGTCCTGAAACCTGACTGGTTTGGATCAAGAAGGTAATTCTGAGAGAGATAGCAGGAGAGTTGGCTAAAGACGGCACGCTCAATAGTTTTGGAAAGAAAAGAAAGAAGGGATACTGGTCTGTAGTTGTTGACATCAGTGGGATCGACTGTTGGTTTTTTGAGAAGGGGAGCAACTCTCGCTCTCTTGAAGACGGAAGGGACATGGCCAGCGGTCAAGGATGAGTTGATCAGCGAGGTGAGGTAGGGGAGAAGGTCACCGGAGATGGTCTGGAGAAGAGAGGAGGGGATGGGGTCAAGCGGGCAGGTTGTTGGGCGGCCTGCAGTCACAAGTCGCAGGATTTTATCTGGAGAGAGAGGGGAGAAAGAAGTCAAAGCATAGGGTAGGGCAGTGTGAGTAGGACCAGCAGTGTCATTAGACTTAACAAACGAGGATCGAATGTCGTCAACCTTCTTTTCAAAGTGGTTGACGAAGTCATCCACAGAGAGAGGGGGGGGGGGGGGGGGGGGGGAGGATTCAGCAGGGAGGAAAATGTGGCAAAGAGCTTCCTAGGGTTAGAGGCAGATGCTTGGAATTTAGAGTGGTAGAAAGTGGCCTTAGCAGCAGAAACAGATGAAGAAAATGTAGAGAGGAGGGAGTGAAAAGATGCCAGGTCGGCAGGGAGTTTAGTTTTCTTCCATTTCCGCTCCGCTGCCCGGAGCTCTGTTCTGTGAGCTCGCAATGAGTCATCAAGCCACGGAGCTGGAGGGGAGGACCGAGCCGGCCGGGAGGATAGGGGACACAGAGAGTCAAAGGATGCAGAAAGGGAGGAGAGGAGGGTTGAGGAGGCAGAATCAGGAGATTGGAGGGAGAAGGATTGAGCAGAGGGAAGAGATGATAGGATGGAAGAGGAGAGAGTAGTGGGAGAGAGAGAGCGAAGGTTGCGGCGGCGCCTTACCATCTGTGTAGGGGCAGAGTGAGTAGTGTGGGAGGAGAGCGAGAGAGAAAAGGAAACAAAGTAGTGGTCGGAGACATGGAGGGGAGTTGCAGTGAGATTAGTAGAAGAGCAGCATCTAGTAAAGATGAGGTCAAGCGTATTGCCTGCCTTGTGAGTAGGGGGGGGGGCGGTGAGAGGGTGAGGTCAAAAGAGGAGAGGAGTGGGAAGAAGGAGGCAGAGAGAAATGAGTCAAATGTGGACATAGGGAGGTTGAAATCCCCCAAAACTGTGAGGGGTGAGCCATCCTCAGGAAAGGAACTTATCAAGGCGTCAAGCTCATTGATGAACTCTCCAAGGGAACCTGGAGGGCGATAGATGACAAGGATATTAAGCTTAAATGGGCTAGTGACTGTGACAGCATGGAATTCAAATGAGGAGATAGACAGATGGGTTAGGGGAAAAATTGAGAATGTCCACTTGGGAGAGATGAGGATTCCTGTGCCACCACCCCTCTGACCAGATGCTCTCGGGGTATGCGAGAACACATGGTCAGACGAGGAGAGAGCAGTAGGAGTAGCAGTGTTTTCAGTGGTAATCCATGTTTCCGTCAGCGCCAGGAAGTCGAGGGACTGGAGATTAGCATAGGCTGGGATGAAGTCAGCTTTGTTGGCAGCAGAACGGCAGTTCCAGAGGCTGCCTGAGACCTGGAACTCCAGGTGTGGGGTGCGTGCAGGGACCACCAGGTTAGAGAGGCAGCAGCCACGCGGTGTGGGGCGTTTGTGTAGCCTGTGCAGAGAGGAGAGAACAGGGATAGGCAGAGGCATAGTTGACAGGCTGTAGCAAATGGCTACAATAATGCAGAGGAGATCGGAATGAAATGAACTAAACATCTGGGAGAGTAGAGAGCAGGGCCTCCCTCACCAAAAACTTCTACCTCAGAAACTATAATTGTTTCACTGAACCACCCGAACAAAAACTCTACCAACTTCCACCTTTAGAAATCAGAATTGTTGTGAACCACAGCGGTTCAATGTTTAAAGGAATAGACTCAACCCACTTTATTCAGCTAGCTAACTATGACACCATAGCTAACTAGCATGCTAGCATCCAAAAACACACAGTTTAGCACCAACACTTGGTCACAACAAACCACCAATAGTGTGTTAACACACTAAGCAGATAATTTGTGTCCGTGTCTGTTGGCTAGCTAGCAATGGCCACTGTGTTGACCTTGTTTGAAGAACGGCTAGCTAGCTAGCTTCGTGCTACCCCCGGCACCGCCGAAAAACAATGCCAACCCACAGTAACTACCCACTACAGCCCACGATGCCTAGCTATGACGCCATAGCTAACTAGCATGCTAGCATCCAATAACACACAGTTTAGCACCAATACTTGGTTACAACAAACTACCAAGAGTGTGTTAACACACTAAACAGATAATTCATGTCCGTGTCTAGTTCCTTTCATAACGCAGCAAAAATTAAACGTTGGCTAGCTAGCACATTAACACTGGAAACAACTCTCCACCGTTGCACTAAACAGATAATTACCAATAAACGTTACCAGTAGCTACCCGCTAGCTAGCTAGCATACCAAGAGTGTGTTAACACACTAAACAGATAATTCATGTCCGTGTCTAGTTCCTTTCATAACGCAGCAAAATATTAAACGTTGACTAGCTAGCACATTAGCTAGCACATTAACATTGGAAACCACTCTCCACCATTGCACTAAACAGATAATTACCAATAAACGTTACCAGTAGCTACCCGCTAGCTAGCTAGCCTCGTGCTTCGCCGGGCTCCGCCGTAAACAATACTTAAACAATACGTAAACAATACTTACCTACAATAATTGCCTACGGAAACCTACAATAACTACCTAAATAACTACCTAAATAAACTACCTACCTACGATCTAAATACATGGTTTAAGCTTTACTCAACACCATATGAGAAGCCAAGCTTACCTCCTGCTAGAGAAAACACAACCTCTCCCGACGAAGTCAGCACTGTAGGCTTGTACATCTTGGGGATCAAACACAACAGCAGAATCTAATCTAGTGCATAGCTATACTCATTCAAGAGCAGTGTCTTTGAAGGCCACATCTCTTCTGAGGCCATCCATGGTGACTCCTGTTTCCCACATGGTATCCCTCTCTTTCTCTCTACCTGTTTCCCACATGGTATCCCTCTCTTTCTCTCTACCTGTTTCCCACATGGTATCCCTCTCTTTCTCTCTACCTGTTTCCCACATGGTATCCCTCTCTTTCTCTCTACCTGTTTCCCACATGGTATCCCTCTCTTTCTCTCTACCTGTTTCCCACATGGTATCCCTCTCTTTCTCTCTACCTGTTTCCCACATGGAAGACTTGGTATTTTACCTAATAGGCCTATCTTCTGTATACCCCCCTACCTTGTCACAACACAACTGATTGGCTCAAACACATTAAGAAGGAAAGAAATTCCATAAATTAACTTTTAGCAAGGCACACCTGTTAATTGAATTGCATTCCAGTTGACTACCTCATGAAGCTGGTTGAGAGAATGCCAAGCGTGTGCAAAGCTGTCATCAAGGCACTTTTGGTTACTACATGATTCCATATGTGTTATTTCATAGTTTTGATGTCTTCACCATTATTCTACAAAGTAGAAAATAGTAAAAATAAAGAAAAACCCTTGAATGAGTAGGTGTGTCCAAACCTTTGACTGGTACTGTATATATCCATTGATTCTTGAATAATATAATTTATAAATGCCTCATGAGCTTAATTCAACCCAAAAATAGAAGCTTGTTTTTCTCCAATGTTTCTAAACATTGTAAATGTAAACAACACTATGACCTCATCACATGGTTAAAACAACACTATGACCTCATCACATGGTTAAAACAACACTATGACCTCATAACATGGTTACAACAACACTATGACCTCATCACATGGTTAAAACAAGAATGTTGATGTCATGGATGGTCAGTCCTTGCATCCATAGCTCTGTCTATTAATCTGAGAGTAGTTACATGTTTCCAGGCCCATCCCTCAGCTTTTACCAAAACAGAGGCGGGGCGCCCGTTTTGTTATTGTTTCATCTGTGGATTTGCCCTTTAAACAGCTGCATATTATCAAGATATCAAAGTGTCCCCAAGACAAAGGTAAACAATAGGTCGATAGTATATGCAGCATATGGCTTCACTTTTCACGTCAATAGCACTTTTCAGTAATGCTCAAAGCCATTCAATGAGCACAGCATTTATTTTTCAACTTGAATCAATGAGCTCAATCAGTCCTCCATGACAACAAAATCCTAACCAACCGAGTAGGGTTGTCTAGTAAGTCCTTCGTTTTGGGGTTATGCTCAGCTAAAACACTTAGGCTAATCTACACTTCCATATCTCCAAGTCCTATTCTTGAAGATCAAGGAGTATAAAATTTATTTGAATGACTGGAATTCTGATAGACTTTGGTTTTTAATGTAAAGATATAATTTAATTGTATTATTATCTGTAGTAGAAAGCGATGGGTTAGAAGAAGCCTACATATCCAATCCATAAAATAAAATGTAACATCATATATGGCCAGCGATGTAAACTTTAACATTGATTTATCCTGCAATAGATGTCGTTCAATTGTTTTGTCTTCTTCTAACGCCTCTTAAGAGGAAAGTAATCTAAAAGTAACTGAATTTAATCAGATTACGTTACTGAGTTTGGGTAATCCAAAAGTTATATTACTGATTACAATTTTGGACAGGTAACTAGTAACTGTCAGGGATTACATTTAGAAAGTAATCTACCCAAACCTGTCAATAACTACAGCGATTAAACCGTGAGTTCGGCAATCTTACCTGTCATGCGTGGTCAATGTCTCTGTGTGAGTATCATATCTAAGCTGAAAAGCCCAAAGCATCTCCATCATGTGTGGATAAGATAACTCCTGTAATAACTAAAGGTACCACAATATGCCTGATACCACTTAGCAGATGCTTTTTATCCAAAGCTGTCTACAGTACAGTGCAGTGCAGTGTGTCTGATCACGTGCATGTTGGCTCACCACGGTGCACGGGCCTTCCTGACCCACTGGGACCCATGGTCTGTAGGAGGGGGCGTGTCACACCATTCCCATGGTAATGCTGCTGGTGTTCGGAGACCAACCTGACAATACTCAGCGATTGGCCAGTAAGGGAGTGGGTGTGGTCCTGGATATTAACCATGTCACCGTGGAAACACTGCTTCAGGCGCTGGACGAGGTTGTCAACACCACCAGCTGAGACGGTCAGAGGCGTGTGAGAGACGGTCAGAGGCGTGTGAGAGACGGTCAGATTCCAGCTGTGGATAAATGTGTCTGCTAAATGGCATGTCTATGTGTCTCTGTGTCCAGTGTGCCGTTCACAAGTCCAGTGAACCCCCTAGAACTCTGTCTATTGGACAGTTTGTGATGTGCCACATAGCCCCTTCCCAGGACCTCAACTGGGGTGTAATCATTGCGGAAACCGTTTAAGAACCAAACGAAATGGGGAGGGACCTACCTGGACTTGTCCAATAGAAACTCTCGTTTGCATTTTCCGTTTGGAGTAAACGGTTTCTGTTGCAAAACGTTTTTGCAACATACGAAACGTTTTGCAACAGAATCAGTGTAATGATTCCACCCCAGGCTGCAGTACCACAGCCTGGACATGATTGGCCTGATGGTTGTGGTGACAGCGAAGTGCTTGTTGCTGAGCTTGCGAAGGTTAACAACCAGGAAGAGGAAGCAGGACTGACCAGGAGGGCAGAGCCAAGAGCAACAACATGAATCTCCTTTAAGTTTCAATTTCAGAAAATGTGTGCATAAAAAGTGGATACCAGTATTTCCTTAACACCTGGACTACTGCTCCTACAGGCCCAGACATTCCACTTGTTCTATTGCACCAGCAGCACACCTGGTTCTCCTTCAGTAGAGTAAACTCAGATCATCTCTGAGAATAAGGGAACTGAACGGAACCAAACGGTCTAAAATGGGGAGGGACCCTAGCCGAATTTGGGTTGCGAAACATTTTGCTCTGGACTGTGCATTAATGACCCCAGCTGTGTTAAGGAAATAAAGATGGTGAAAGCTGAACTGTGGTCATGCAGGATTGCCAGGTCTAGCTTAAAATGGCATTTACATTTTAGTCCTTTAGCAATGACCACTCAAAACCAACCCACAAGGCCTGAAAACTAACCCCCCAAAATAAATTTGCAGCAAGAGGAATTGCCGGATCTCCATATTACCTAGCTAGCTCCATATTACCTAGCATTTATCCAATAGGTGTCTCCATATTACCTAGCTAGCTCCATATTACCTAGCTAGCTCCATATTACCTAGCTAGCTAGTGCCGTTATTTATGTTGTTCTCACATCACTTGTCCCCTCAGTCAGGTGACCCAGAAGCAGTCCTCTCTCAACACCCCCTCCCAGAAGCAGTCCTCTCTCAACACCCCCTCCCAGAAGCAGTCCTCTCTCAACACCCCCTCCCAGAAGCAGTCCTCTCTCAACACCCCCTCCCAGAAGCAGTCCTCTCTCAACACCCCCTCCCAGAAGCAGTCCTCTCTCAACACCCCCTCCCAGAAGCAGTCCTCTCTCAACACCCCCTCCCTTCACTCAGCAACAGCCTGCCTCACAGTCAGCAGCAGGTCACAGTAAAATGAATAGATGGCGACCGCGATGCAATTTAGAAGTAGCCCAAAAACCTGCAACAAATACATTTTCACCCGCAACATCGTTTTCAAAGTAGCCTAATTTACAGAAACTGCAGACATGGCAACCCTGGTCATGTGCCTGTTTCAGTGTCAGAGACAGTAACTATTAGCAACCACACCAATACAACCAGCAATTAAACGGATGAAATCACATTTATTATACAGAAAAAAACATTAGCATTCCGGTCTGATCCGGTTCAGGGTAGTCTGTTCTGAAGTGTTCTGGGGTTAGTCTCAGTGGTCAGACTTCTTAGGGGGGAAGAGAGCGTACTCTACGGTCAGAGCCACAGCGAAGGCAGCGAAGCCCCATTTAAAGCCCCTCAACATCACGTCTCCCAGGGATACAGGACGACTGAATCCTCCCATGTACCTCCACGCCTCGTTACTGTGGAAGAGAAATAAATGGAGAGAAACATCAGTATCACTCACATATACAGACCCCTTGACTTTTTCCACATTGTTACAGTCTTATTCTAAAATGTATTAAATCTTTCCCCCCCCCCCCCCCCCCATCAATCTACACACAATACCCCATAATGACAATGCAAAAAACAGGTTTTTAGAACATTTTGCACATTTATTAAAAATAACACACTTTAATATTACATAAGTATTCAGACCCTTTACTCAGTACTTTGTTGAAGCACCTTTGGCAGCGATTACAGCCTTGAGTATGACGCTACAAGCTTGGCACACCTGTATTTGGGGAGTTTCTCCCATTCTTCTCTGTAGATCCTCTCAAGCTCTGTCAGGTTGGATGGGGAGCGTCGCTGCACAGCTATTTTCAGGTCTCTCCAGAGATGTTCGATCAGGTTCAAGTCTGGGCTCTGGCTGGGCCACTCAAGGATAATGAGACTTGTCCCAAAGCCACTCCTGCATTGTCTTGGCTGTGTGCTTAGGGTCGTTGTCCTGTTGGAAGGTAAACCAGTCTGAGGTCCTTTTCTCTGTTCATCTTTCCCTCGATCCTGACTAGTCTCCCAGTCCCTGCCGCTGAAAAACTTCCCCACATCATGATGCTGCCACCACCATGCTTCACCGTAGGGATGGTGCCAGGTTTCCTCCAGACGTGACGCTTGGCATTCAGGCCAAAGAGGTCTATCTTGGTTTCATCAGACCAGAGAATCTTGTTTCTCATGGTCTGAGAGTCTTTTAGGTGCCTTTTGAAAAACTCCAAGCGGGCTGTCATGTGCCTTTTACTGAAGAGTGGCTTCCGTCTGGCCACTACCATAAAGTCCTGATTTTTTGGTACCCTTCCCCAGATCTGTGCCTCAACACAATCCTGTCTCTGAGCTCTACCGACAATCCCTTCGACCTCATGGCTTGGTTTTTGCTCTGACATGCACTGTCAACTGTGGGACCTTATATAGACAGGTGTGTGCCTTTCCAAATCATGTCCAATCAATTGAATTTACCACAGGTGGACTCCAGTCAAGTTGTAGAAACATCTCAAGGATGATCAATGGAAACAGGATGCACCTGAGCTGAATTTTTAGTCTCATAGCAAAGGGTCTGAATATTTATGTAAATAAGGTATTTCTGTTTTTTTTCTAAAAACGCTGTCATTATGGGGTATTGTGTGTAGATTGCTTCGGATAAAAATTAAAATTAAAATTCAATTTTAGAATAAGGCTGTAACTTAACAAAATGTCGAAAAGGTCGAGGGGTCTGAATACTTTCCGAAGGCACTGTACATGTACACATCTTTAATGTAAAGATCTACCCCTCTCTCACCGTGCCCATGGGTCCTTCAGTCCTCTGGTTGCCAGTCTCTGCTGGGTGAACTCCAGAGGTGTTCCCTCTACCTTCCACAGCTTGAAGTCTGGCAGGCTCAGTTTACTACCGTGGCCGTGGTCTCCTCCCATCCTAACACACAGCATCATGGGTTTTGAGTTGTGGAACTAGCTCTCTAAGTTAGCTAATCTAACTAACTAGCTAACTGATCTTGACAAGTTTATAGCCATGCTATAGCAAGCTGCTAACGTTAGTTCATGAAAGCATATAGGACACACCACAGACTGTAAGAATATTTGATAGAACCAGAGATGTTAGGTTTACATGATCAGATACTCTTGGATTGTACTGTAGTTAGCTAGCTAACTAGCACAGCTTGCCGACTAGGGCGCTAACTAGCTAGTTAGCCTGTTCTTTAACGTCAGCAGTGGACCTCGGGAAGCAGCAATGACAAATATTTAACCATAAAACAATATAATCTCAGTCTTCAGTAGCACAACACATTTATATATCAAACACTTAGGTCTTATTTCATATATTTCTAATAGTATAAACACGTAACAGCAGTACCTGTCTGTTTGTGACCTCTGTTGTGGATGAAACACTACGACAATTGCACCTGATGTACGGCACTGCTACGGTACACTAAAGAGACCAAACCTAGTTCGTCTCAGACTTTGTCGGAGCGCAAACAATCCAGTGTATTTGTAGGTCAGAACCATAGTCTGGACATAACTAGGGATGTGCATCTTTCCCTTTCAAGACGATACGATACAGGAACGATACATTTTAGTTTGAAACGATTCGGTGCAATTGAGTTTGATTAGAGAACGAATCGATGCATTAACATCTGTTGTATAAACACATTCATTCTCCATTCTAAATTAAAATCTGCCGTTGATGGAACTCATGAGATGGGCCTCTCTGAAATGGCTGTGTGATGTATGTGTAATATGTATGTCTCCACTATCAATATAGCCTGTTTTTTGTCCCCCTACTATGGTTCTGAAATCACCATCACCCACTAATTAACTTGTCATTTTTTTGCAGATGAATTGTTTGAGTTGGTAATGGATCAATATGTATCGTTAACAAGTTAGCTATGACATAGCCAATGAATATATATCACAACTTTGGGATTTCACCCCCATCTCAAAAACGAATGGTTTTGACCGTTCCGGACATTTTTATGGAGTTATTCTCTTCGGCCATGCAGTGTGGCTCGCTAAAGTGATTGTGTCCACGTTATGAAATTATCAACTTTACCCTGTATATTTAAAAATGACCATATACACTGATTGTTCAAAGCAAAACTACCAAAACTATTGCTGATGGTGAACCTGAACTTTCCAAATAAAATCTATTGTAAACCCCGTTCAGCCAGATGAGTTGTCTCAGGTGGTTTAGGCCTGCTTTTATTCCGGTAAAACACAGTGCATAGATAACAATAACCTAGCAAATTACACTGGTCTTTACTCAACTAATAAAGCCTCGTATCACGCAAGCCATTTTAGCGTGTGTATGCTGAAGGTGCAGAGCACAGGAGGTTGGTGCCACCTTAAATGGGGGGGACAGGCTCGTGGTAATGGCTGGAGCGGAATCAGTGGAAAGGTATCCAATCCATCAAAACACATCGGTTGCATTCCAGTAGCTCTTTTCCAGCCATTATTATGAGGCGTCATCCCCTCGCAGCCTCCACTGGGGCAGATGTGAAAGACCAGGAACAGGCCACGTACCAAGCGTTGGTGAGAACGTGAACCTGTGCGCAGTTTGACTAGACTACTGATATTGCCTGGGGTTGTTAGGCATGTAACATCACATGCAGATCAATGACAGTCAATAGTTACATGAAGAAGAGTTGTTCAGTTGTCAGAAAATATGAGGTATTTTCGGAAGGTAGAAAGTAATATGGGCAACCCCAAAAAAATGTAAACCGGCTATTTTCTGACCAATGCATGCTACATTTGGATCGGATAAGTCCGCGGACTGATCCACTTATATTTTAAACCATTTGAATCGGGGACTGATGCGTATTGGTGAATCATTACATCCCTAGTCAGAACCATAGACCACATGGTCAGATCTGAGGGAGAAGTCATAGTGCAATGTAAAGGGTGTTTATTGTAAAGGGTGTTATCTTTCTTTATAAGACAGTGACAACATGATGGTTCATATTCAACATTATTGAAACACTAATAACAGCCAATAATCAGGAGAATTATGTCACATAGGCCTATTACCATGTTAATAATATCTGAATTATCTACAATTATGTACAGTACATGAGATACAGACTGATACAGGGATTGACTGATACAGGATCACACAGGGTGATACAGGGTGACGCAGGGTGACACAGGGTGAGGCTGATAGGACGAGAGCTGACAGATATACAGAGTTCAGCCTCTATATCGACACCAACCCTTCAATGAATTCATATTGATTTATATTGATAGCATTCTGATCAGCGTTCTCAAAAACAGTTCTCCAAACATCTACTGTCTGTCTACAATCATACACCCGTCCGTCCGTTGCCATGGGCTGGTCTCCGCGGTGCTGGGTTGGTCTCCGTAGCGATGACCTTGTTTCCATAGTGATAGTTAGAGCTTAGCCTTGGGTTTTAGCAGCTCTTTCAGAGTGTCCAGATTCTCTCCCTCTGGGGCTGCAGGCCACGCACTGTGATCTACCGCGCACGTGAGAGGTAGGTTATGCACTCGTGTATAATTGTACAAGTAAGTAACAGTGTGTGTGTACCTACCTGGTATTTCCCACATAGAGTGGTAAAGACTCTGTCCAGCGTCCACCCTCAGAGTGGCTCCAGAGATGTAGGAGGCGGCAGGAGACAGGAGGAAACACACTGCTGGAGAGATCTACACACAGAGAGGGAGAGGGGAGGGAGCGTCAGTCTCAAAGCGGTCTGAAGCACTCTGTGTGCATGCCGTATGTACATAAATGATGTGTGTGTACCTCCTCTGGGACCCCCAGTCTTTTAGCAGGGCTGAAGGGAATAGACATCTTAAACAGTGTTGGTCCAAACTCCTTATAGTTCTCAACAGCTGTCTTGGAGATGATGGTGCCCTGGAAGCGGAGACAGAGTGACTGACTGGCTTTAAACCCAGGGTCTTCTGTGGCTAGGTGCCATAAGACTGTTAGCCCACTGAGCTTAAGTTAAGGTTTTGAGAGATTTGGGAACAGCTCAATTACAATTCATGCACACCGTGAACACACACACACACACGTACGTACCGGTGCTATGGCGTTGACTCTGACTCCAGACACGGCCCATTCGATGGCCAGAGTCTTAGTTAAGTTATCTACAGCGGCCCGCGCTGCTCCGGTATGACTGGCCAGAGACAATGCAGACGTCAGGGTGGGAGGGCAAGGTCCCCTCAGTAAGGTAGGTAGTGTGTAGAGTTGGTGGTAGGTAGGTAGAGTTGGTGTTAGGTAGGGTAGTGTTGGTGGTAGGTAGGTAGAGTTGGTGGTAGGTAGGTAGAGTTGGTGGTAGGTAGGTAGAGTTGGTGGTAGGTAGGGAGTTGGTGGTAGGTAGGTTGGTGGTAGGTAGAGTTGGTGGTAGGTAGTGTAGGTTGGTTGTAGTCGGTAGCGTTGGTGGTCGGTCGTTTTGTTGGTCGGTACGGTCGGTCGTTGGTGGTCGTCGGTCCTCGTTTGTGGTCGGTCGGTCCTCTTGGGTCGGTCTGGTCGGTCGGTCTTTGGTGTCGTTGTGGTCGCGTTTGGTGGTCGGTCGCGTTGTGAGATCGGTCGGTTGGTGTCGTCGCGTTGTGGTGTCGCGTTGGTGTGGTCGGTTGTGGTGGTCGGTGGGGTGTGTGGTCCGTGGTGTGGTCGTCGTGTTCGCGTTGGTGGTCGTCTCGTTGGTGCGCGGTTGGTGGCGGTCGGTCGCGTGAGTGTCGGTCGGTCTTTCGGTCGTTGGTGTCGGTCTCGTTGGTGCGGTCGGTCGCTTGTTTGGTCGTTCGGGCGTTGGTGGTCGGTCGCGTTGGTGGTGTTCGTCGTCGTTTTGGTGTCTGTGCTTTGGTGTCGGTCGCTTTGGTGGTCGGTCGTCTGTTGTTGGTCGTTGGTGTGTCTCGTGTGGTCGGTCGCGTGGTGGTCGTCGTGGTGTGGTTGGTCGGTGGTCGCGTGGTGTTTTCGGTCTGGCTGGCTTGGTGGTGGTCGCTTTGGTGTTCTGGTCGGTGGTCGTGGCGTTGGTGTTCGTGTCGTCGCGTTGGTGGTGGTCGTCGTCGTTGGTGTCGGTCGTCGCTTTTGGTGGTCTGTCGGTCGTCGTTTGTTGTGGTCGTCGTCGTTTGTGGTCGGTCGGTCGGTCGGCGTTGGTGTCGGTCGTTTGGTTGGTTCGGTCGTTGGTCGCGTTTTGTCGGTTCGTCGTCCGTTTGTGGTCGTCGTGTCGGGCGTTGGTGGTCGGTTGCGTTTGGTGTGTCGGTCGGTCGTTGTCTCTTGTGGTCGGTCGCGTTGGTGTCGTCGGTCGTGTGTCGCTTGGTGTCGGTCGTTCCGTTTGTGTGGTCGGTTCGTCGTTGGTGGTGTGTTTCTGTCTCGTTGGTTGGTCGGTCGTGTGGTGGTTGGTCGGTGTGGTCCGTTGTTGGTGGTCGTCGTGTTCGTTGTGGCGGTGGTTGTGTTAGTTTGTGGTGGTCTGTGTGCGTTGGTGGTTATTGGTGCGTTGTTGTGTTCTACTTGTGGTTCTGTTCCGTTGTCGGTCGTCTTGTGTGGTCTTTTGTGTGTCGGTCGGTAGTTTTGTCGCGTTGGTGGTTGGTATCTCGTTTGGTGGTCGGTTCGGTCTGTGTCTCGTTGGTGGTCGGTCTCGTTGGTGTCGGTCGTTGCTTGGTGTCGTCGGTGCTCTTGTGTCTGGTCGGTCGTCCGTTGGTGGTGGTCGGTTGGTGGTGTGGTCGCGTTGTGGTGGTCGGGCTTGGTGTTCGTCGTGCGTTTGTGTTCTGTCCGTTGGTGTCGTCGCCTTGTGGTCTGGTCCGTTGGTGGTCTGTCTGTCGCGTTGTGGTGGTCGTTCGCGTTGTGTCGGTGCGTTGGTGGTGGTCGTCGCGTTGGTGGTCGGTAGGGAGATGTGGTGGTGGGAGGGTGGTGGTCGAGTTGCGTGGTGGTCTGAGTTGTCGTGTTTGGTGTGTAGGTTGGTGGGGTTGGTGTAGGTAGTAGGTCGAGTGTTGGTTGGTTGAGGTTGGTGGTAGTAGAGTGGTGGGTAGGGAGTTGTGGTAGGTAGAGGTTGGTGGTAGGTAGGTAGGTTGGTGGTAGGTAGGTCGTGGTTTTGTGTTGGTAGTCTCTTATCGATTGTTTGTCCGTTGTGAGTCGGAGAGAAATAGGATAGGTCAGTTGTGTGTGTGTCGTGGAGTTGGTCAGAGAGAGATAGGTCATTGTGTGTGTGGGAGAGAGAGAGACTCACGCCATGCCTGGGAAGCCTTTCCACATATCAGCGATGATGTTGACGATCACTCCTCCATTCTCCTTCATCCATGCAGCATACACTAGGAAAAAAACACACATCACATTACACACACACATCACGTTACACACACACACACACACACACACACACTCCTACCTTCCTTGCAGCAGTGGAAGGTTCCAGTGAGGTTGGTGTCTATGACAGCCTTCCATCCCTTAGATGAGGTGTGTTCTGCTGGGCTGCTGAACTGGCCTCCGCCGTTATTTACCAGGTAGTCTATACGGCCATACTGCTGCAACACTGACAAGACCAGAGACTTCACCTACATACACAGAAAAGGTTTACTTTGACACACCGCAGGTTAGTGTGTGTGCCCCTTCCTCAACGTGGAAGTTACAGGATGAGTGTGTGTAGACCGACCTCCTCCTCGTTGCGTATGTTACAGGCTATAGGGGTGACGGAGGCAGGGCTAGACGGAGGTATCCTCAGCCTCAGCTCCTCAGCTGCAGCCTCCAACCGCTCCACCTTCCTACTGGAGATCACCACGTTACAGCCTGAGACACAGACACAGACAGAGGACCCCCACATTTGGCCATAGTGATCATGTACCTTGGAGTTGAGTACAGAAATACACCCAACTACACCTTCAGAAACCTCTCAGCTAGATTTGTAAACAAAACATGAATATTTGTATTTATTACGGACCCCCCCCCAATATTATATATCGTGTGAGTACTAACCTTTACTGCCAATGGTATTCACACATGTAGTAGCTACTAAAACGCCATGCCAATTTAATATTGCCTTTTGAACAGAGATCAGTGTATCTAGGGTAAAGTTCACTCAGTGCTGTTATAACCTAGCTAGAGACTCTGCCGGTGTCTAAACGCGCACACACAGAGTAAGCGATACGTCTGAACACAACACACCACCTACCCAGCTGCAGCAGCTCGTTGGAGATGGCTTTGCCGATGCCGGTGCCTCCTCCCGTTACCACCGCCACTTTGTGGTTGAACAGCCCCGCTTTGAACACACTGGAGACGGCCATGTTTCTTCTTGCTACTCGGTGCTGGTCACGTGATCTGTCGTATTTTCGGGCGCCCTCTCCTGGATTCAGCGGGTGTTAAAGCCAACTGAAGTCCTTCAGTTACAACACACCCCCTATGATAGATCCTACAACATTGTCTCTAAGTGTTGTGAGAAGTATCCTTTACTGCAGTTGTAAACTACCTACAATACAGCCTTTAGGCTTTCCTTGTGCCTCAAAACGAATGGGTAATCCACTGTCTACGGAGTTGAGTGCACAAGCCAAGCAGCACCAACCTAGCACATTGAACTATGGTTGAGAGCAGCATGTGTTCAGTGTTGCACATTAATCTAGAAATGTCTGAGCATTTACTCCAACCCTCTATGCAGATCAGACCCCTGAGAACCAGTCAGTGAACATTTACTCCAACCCTCTTTGCAGATCAGACCCCTGAGAACCAGTCAGTGAACATTTACTCCAACCCTCTTTGCAGATCAGACCCCTGAGAACCAGTCAGTGAACATTTACTCCAACCCTCTTTGCAGATCAGACCCCTGAGAACCAGTCAGTGAACATTTACTCCAACCCTCTTTGCAGATCAGACCCCTGAGAACCAGTCAGTGAACATTTACTCCAACCCTCTTTGCACAACATTCGGAAAGTATTCAGACCACTTGACTTTTTCCCACATTTTGTTACAGCCTTATTCTAAAATGGATATATATATTTTTAAATCCTCATCAATTTACACACAATACCCCATACTGACAAAGCGAAAACAGTTTTAGGAAAGTTTGGAAAAAAAATTAAATAGCAAAAACAAATAACTTATTTACACAAGTACACAGACCCTTTGCTATGAGACTCGAAATCGAGCTCAGGTGCATCCTGTTTCCAATGATCATCCTTGATGTTTCTACAACTTGATTGGAGTCCACCTGTGGTAAATTCAATTGATTGGACATGATTTGGAAAGGCACACACCTGTCTATATAAGGTCCCACAGTTGACAGTCCACGTCAGAACAAAAACCAAGCCATGAGGTTGAAGGAATTGTCCCTAGAGCGCTGAGACAGGATTGTGTCGAGGCACAGATCTGGGGACGGGTACCAAAAAATGTCTGCAGCATTGAAGGTCCCCAAGAACACAGTGGACTCAATCATTCTTAAATGGAAGAAGTTTGGAACCACCAAGACTCTTCCTAGAGCTGGCCACCCGGCCAAACTGAGCAATCAGGGAAGTAGTGTCTTGGTCAGGGAGGTGACCAAGAACCCGATGGTCACTCTGACAGAGCTCCAGAGTTCCTCTGTGGAGATGGGAGAACCTTCCAGAAGGACAACCATCTCTGCAGCACTCCACCAATCAGGCTTTAATTTTAGAGTGGCCAGACGGAAGCCACTCCTCAGTAAAAGGCACATGACAGCCCGCTTGGAGTTTGCAAAAAAGCACCTAAAGACTCTCAGACCATGGGAACTAGATTATCTGGTCTGATGAAACCAAGATTGAACTATTTGGCCTGAAAGCCAAGCGTCACGTCTGGAGGAAACCTGGCACCATCCCTACGGTGAAGCATGGTGGTGGCAGCATCATGCTGTGGGGATGTTTTTCAGCTGCAGGGACTGGGTGACTAGTCAGGATCGAGGGAAAGATGAACGGAGCAAAGTACAGAGAGATCCTTGATGAAAACCTGCTCCAGAGCGCTCAGGACCTCAGACTGGGGTGAAGGCTCACCTTCCAACAGGACAACGACCTTAAGCACACAGCGAAGACAACGCAGGAGTGACTTCGGCAGAGCTCGGACTTGAACCTGATCGAACATCTCTGGAGACCTGAAAATAGTTGTGCAGCGACGCTCCCCATCCATCCTGACAGAGCTCGAGAAGATCTGCAGAGAAGAATGGGAGAAACTTGCCTGTATTTGGTCCTCTGTAGCTCAACTGGTAGAGCACGGCGCTTGTAATGTCAGGGTAGTGGGTTCGATCCCCGGGACCACCCATACGTAAAACAAATGTATGCACGCATGACTAAGTCGCTTTGGATAAAAGCGTCTGCTAAATGGCATATTATTAAAACTCGAGGCTGTAATCGCTGTCAAAGGTGGTTCAACAAAGACCCTCAAAATTGTCAAAGACTCCAGCCACCCTAGTCATAGACTGTTCTCCCTGCTACCGCACGGCAAGCGGTACCGGAGCGCCAAGTCTAGGTCCAAAAGACTTCTCAACAGCTTCTACCCCCAAGCCATAAGACTCCTGAACAGCTAATCATGGCTACCCGGACTATTTGCACTGCCCCCCCACCCCATCCTTTTTTACGCTGCTGCTACTCTAATTATTTATGCATAGTCACTTTAACTCTACCCACATGTACATATTACCTCAACTAGCCGGTGCCCCCGCACATTGACTCTGCAACGGTACCCCCCTGTATATATAGCCTCCCTACTGTTATTTTATTTTACTTCTGCTCTTTTTTTTCTCAACACTTTTTGTTTTATTTTTTGTTAAAAATAAATGCACTGTTGGTTAAGGGCTGTAAGTAAGCATTTCACTGTGATGTCTGCACCTGTTGTATTCGGCGCATGTGACCAATAAAATTTGATTTGATTTAAAGGGTCTGAATACTTATGTAAATGTGATATTTCAGTTTAATAAATGTGCCAAAATTTCTAACCAGTTTTTGCTTTGTCATTATGGGGTATTGGGTAGATTATTTTTAATCCATGTTAGAATAAGGCTGTAACTTAACAAAATGTGGAAAAGGTCAAGGGGTCTGAATACTTTCCGAATGCGCTGTAACCATCAGTCCCAAGACCCCATCAATTTATCACACTTTACCTTCATGTCCAGCCCTTATATTTAGCCTCACAATTAAAGTGTTTTACCATTTTTCAGGAATGTTTCCACTGTATTCATTAGGATCAGATTTAACAGCTTGTTAATCGTACAGAAGAAATGAAATCCAATGGAACAACCCAGAAGTCTGGAGCTCAAACAATATTTTAAAAGGGGTTTGGACGTCCGTTAGCGGGACTGTAGGAGGGAACGTTCAGACACGCCGCTAAGGTGGCGGGCAACAAGTACTGTAAGTTACAACTAGTAACAGCAACACAACTAGTAACAGCAACACAACTAGTAACAGCAACACAACTAGTATAAGAGAGAGACTCGGGTGTTCCGCTCTAGACTGCTTTTTATTGTGGTAGATGTTCGACACAGCGTCCAGCTCAGAAACTGTACACAAACAGGTGACGGTCTGGTCCCCCTCTACTGGTCTTTCAGCTCCTTCAGTCTCCTGATGGCCGACTTCACTGTGACTGCAGACGTCGTGCTGGAACACAGAGACCGAACACCAAAGGGGAACAATGGTTTAGCACATACAGTGGAAACATACTGAACAGAAAAGCACTGGAGTCACAAGACACCAAGGGCCGGGCAGTTTCCCGGACACAGATTAAGCCTAGCGCTGGGCTAGTCTGTCTGGTAAACCAGCGGGCTACGGATTGCACAGTCAACCCAGATCAGATAAAACTAGGACAACTCAAAGCCCCATGTGATTACAGACTACAGGCACATCCTTCCTAGGACAAATCAAGCTGTCAAATTGGTTGTTGATCATTGCTAGACAACCATTCTCAGGTCTCGCCATAATTGACTTAAATCTGCTGCCAATAGCAACTCCGGTGTAGATTTGGCCTTGTATTTTAGGTTATTTTCCTGCTGAAAGGTGAATTCTTCCTCTAGGATTTTGCCTGTGCTTAATTAATTTTTTATCCTGAAAAACTCCCCAGTCCATAAGAATTACAAGCACATCCATAACATGATGCAGCCACCACTGCCTGAAAATATGGAGTGGTACTCTCTAATATTATTATTATATATTATTACTCTGTGCCCCAAACAGAGCACTTTGTATTCAGATTTTTTTTGCAGTATTACTCTATTGCCTTGTTGCAAACAGGATGAATGTTTGAATATTTTATTATTTTTACTCTCAATGAGGTTAGTACATGGAGTAACTACAATGTTGATCCATCCTCTGTTCCCTCCCATCACAGCCATTAAACTCTGTTTTAAAGTCACCATTGGCCTCATGGTGAAATCCCTGATCGGTTTCCTTCCTCTCCGGCAACTGGGTTAGGAAGGACGCCTGTATCTTTGTAGTGACTGGGTGTATTGATACACCATCCAAAGTGTAATTAATAACTTCACCGTGCTCAAAGGGATATTCAATGTTTTTTTTACCCATCTACCAATAGGTGGCCTTCTTTGCGAGGCATTGGAAAACCTCCCTGGTCTTTGTGGTTGAATCTGTGTTTGAAATTCCCTTCCTGACTGAGGGACCTTACAGATAATTGTATGTGTGGGGTACAGAGATGAGGAAGTCATTCAAAAATCATGTTAAACACTATTATTGCACACAGTGAGTCCATGCAACTTATGTGACTTGTTAAGCAAGTTACTCCTGAACTTATTTAGGCTTGCCATAAGGGGTTGAATACTTAAGAAATGTCAGTTTCTCATTTATTAATTTTTAAGAATTTAGAAAAACATAATTCCCATCCAATTGGCGATAGATTTATGCGCATATTCTAGAATCCGCATAAAGAAAAAATAAGTGAATTTTCCCACCAGTGTTTCCACCCAACAGACTTCTTGTGGATAAAAGTCAGCGCGTGCTGACGTAGTGCTCACAATTTACAGTTTCATTTTGATGTACCGAATAAACATCTCGAGTTCAATGTGTTTCCATTGCATTTTTTCATAAAACTTGTGTTAAATAGCAAATCTCTGGTCTTTGGCACATGCGCTCCAGCCAACAGCTTGCAGATAGTGCGGGTAGAGTAGTCTACATGAAATTATGGATAAAAGCGAGAATATTTTTTATTTGTTAAACAGCAGTTAAGCATTGATCATCATGTCACCAGAATAAGACCCTCGATATTTATTGGAAAGGAGCATCAAGCTCCTCACTGTGCACTTTCACCACCCTGTGAAGTTTATCATAATTTATTTCATCTGTAACCTAATAAACTGCATGGTTTCCAGAGTCGTAGTGGGAGGACCACACACCATATCATCTCGTGCCTCCAAGTTCACTTCAATATGATGGTTATTATATCAATATTTGGCAAACTGCCATTTCGCGCATAATTA